TAGAAATATATTTAGAATTAACTTAAAATATTTAAACAGCAAATAACATATACCAAATGAAAATTAGTAAATCTGCTAGGGTTAAATATGTTGCTTTATTTAAATTCCAGATGTTGTAATGGCTATTGTATTATAAATCGTTTTAAAACTACAAGTGAATCAGTATTTCCAGTGACACTTCTGCTAATAGAGAAGTGGTTACTGCACACTACCTTAACTGCCTTAGAAGACAGTAACTGAGTGAAAAAGCTAAAGGTTCCTGTTTAGGTGCATGGTTCACTGGTTATTTCTGTTCTTTTAATGTGCTAGCTGAAGCGGAGCCTAAAAGACCTCCTTTTCCACTATTGTCCTTGTTAGGAGGCTAGGTCAGGGGCATTATACTCAGTATCATTAACAAACTGCTCTTTGGACACTTTGGCTCCCTAATTCAGGAGCTAAGCTCTGTTAACAGAACTCAAGAAGCCCACTGAAGACATTTAATAGGAGTCAATAAAAGCATGGCAGCCAAGAGTTGGGGTGTGGGTAAAGACCGTTATTTGAATCCCACCTTTGTCAAGAACTTTGATCTTGTGCAATACATAGAACTTAACTGTAAGGTACATTAAATGAGAGAATGCCTATTGACTTCAGTAGTGGCAAAGGTTGGCTAGGTTATTATGTGCCTTAAAATTTGTTTTCGATTCATAAAGACCCCATGTGACAGAACAGAGCTGCACAACAGGGTTTTCTAGATGATTATCTTTATGGAAGGAGACTGCTATGTCTTTCTCCTGTGGAGCCATTGGAGCTCTTAAGCGATATGTTATCAGGACTCTTCAAAGGTTGTTAGACAATCGCAAACCACTTGTACCACACAAAGGACCTTTGTTAAATTTATATATGTATACATACAACTTATGGAGCTCTGGTAGCGTAGTGCCTAAGCCACTTGACTGCTCACCAGAAGGCTGGCGGTTCAAACCCACCTGTTACTCCTTGGAAGGAAGGTTGGGCAGTCTACTTCCGTAGTGATACTGCCTCGGAAATCCAAGGAGGGGTCGCTATGAGTCGGGTTTGACTCGACAGCACATAACAACAACAGCATACCTACAACTTAATTAAGGAGCTCTGGTGGTGCAGTGGTTAAGGCATTTGACTGCAAACCAAAAGTTTGGTGATTCGAACCCACCAGCTGTTCCATGGAATAAAGATGAGGCAGTCTGCTTCCAAAAAGATTTACAGCCTTGGAAACCCAATGGGGGTCGCTGTGAGTTAAACTGACTCAGTGGCAGGAGTTTAGTTTGGAAAACTTAATCACAGATTATTTAACTTCTATACACAATTTTAAGTAAATCTCCACAATCTTAAATTTATAAAGATTTCGTAATGTAAAAACTTTAGCATAAAGTTCATCATTGATTGTATAATCCCTAAAAGACACTTACTCATTCAAGTCAGAGAATAAAAATTAATGGTCCAATTATTTTACCTTACTATAATGTAATATAATCCATGCAATGTTGTTTGTTAACACATTAAGTAAACATGAGAGTTAAGAAGACATGCTTTGAAGTGAGACAACCATCTACTGTCTTAGTTACTTCTGTAAACATCAGTCTCATTTTTGAAATCCAGATAATTAAACTCAATAACAGCAATTGCAAATACCTGTCATTCTGTACAAATATACAAATGTACTCTGAATGTCAGAAATGAATAAGAAAGCCTCTGCCATCATTCTAAAAGGAGCACCAGTGGCACTGTGGTTAAAGCATTGGGCTACTAACCAAAAGGTAAGTAGTTCGAACCCACCAGCTACTCTGCAGGAGACAGACAAGGCAGTCTGCTTCTGTACAGATCTGTAGCCCTGGAAACCCTCTATGACATTTCTACTCTGACCTGTAGGATTGCTATGAATCAGATACAACTCAGTGTCAGTGTGTTTGAATTTTTTTTTCTGCCAATGTTAATGTATTTAATAAACCATCTAATTTCAAGATAACCTTTCATAAAGTTTATCAAAAAATGAGTTTATTTAATGACTGATTCATACATATCATCTAAATTGATCCAGCTAACACAAATCTGATAATTAAGGTAGTTTTGAAACTCACTTTAGAAGAATTTTAGAAATAGAGCCTTTTAGTGTAAGTAAAAAAAAAAAGCATAAAAATAGTTAATATTCACTGTGCACATACTAGGTGACATGAACTGTTCTGAATATTTTAAAGGTATTATTTCATTTAATTCTCCCAACCCCCATGGGAGTAAACAGTATTACAATCTGGATTTTATTAGAGGAAACACAAAAAGGGGAGTAATCTAGCCAAACTCACATTGCTAAAGAATGGTGAAATAGGAATTTGAGTGTGTGCAATATGCCTTAAGAATCAAAGATCTTATCTACCACAGTACTTCCTTTCAAATGAAAAGCCAGTATTTAAAGCTGAAAATCAGGAAAGTTAACAAATTTATATTGAGGGGGGAGGACATTTTTGTAATTCCCATTTGTTGTTAACAAATAAATACTAAGAAATTAGAAGATGCAAAATTTTTTAATTCATGAAAATTCTTTGTATTTTCTTACCAATTATTTATCAGATTGTGTTTTCAGAACTTTTATAAAAGCATCTTTTGGGACTTCAATGTTGCCCACTTTCCTCAGTTTTTTCTTTCCTTCTGCTTGTCTCTTCAAAAGTTTCATTTTTCGGGTAATATCACCACCATACTGTAAAATATTTTTAAAAATTTTAATTTCAAATCAATCAACAGAAATACAGTTATAAAACATAATTACATACAGAAATATCAATACAAGCAAAACAGCCTTATATCAAACAGAAGGTAAAAGTCTCCAGTATTACTTACCTAATCCCCCTTCTACTTGATTGTAATTTTACTATCTTCTCAAAGAAAGATAAAGGCTTAATTTATTCATGTCCAGGAATAATAATCATACTACTTACTGAGTCAAGGCTTGAAATTTTGAATTATAGAGCTGTTATCTAATATGGAAACTTAATCACATAGGCATATATGTGAGGCAGCTATGTCAAACATTCAGAAAAAGCATTTTATCATTTATTTCTCATAACTGAGTTAAGATTTTTCCTATCTTAATATAGAGACAAGACAGCAAACTCAGCAGAGAAATATAGGAGAGGCACATTTCAATACCCATACTCTTCCCACTTAAGATGAAACTGTGCATTGTCTTCAAAATCTTTCATTGTAAATTAAATTAACAAAACACATCACTTTGACCACAGGAATAACTTACAAAATCCTTTCTTAGACAATATTGTGTACAGAGAACTTTTTGAACGTAAGATGAAATATTTAAGAATATGGTCAAAGTGAACATGCTATTACAATGAAGCTGAAATTCACCCGTTTAAAAAGGAAACTTGGTGATGAATTATATTATAAAAGCAATAGACCAATAAATAATGGAAACCAATATATTTACAACCCTTAGTTTTAAGCCCATAAAATAGGAATATTACTACTACAAAGTAAATTAAATACATACACATTTTGCCAAAACGTTTTTTCGATATGCTTTCACACTGTAAAAGAAAATTCTGTGTAAGTATATAACTTTCATGATATTGTTTTAAAATAATTTATTTCCAAAAACAATCTCCATTTACTGAAGGTTTTTAAGGATAGTGTTATACCCATGAAAACTGCCACAGTGAAAACTACAAAAAAAAAAAAAAACAACCATTGCCATCAGGTAGATTCCAACTCATAGTGACCTCCATTGGTTCCCAAGGCTATAATCTTGACAGAAGTAAATTGCTTCATCTTCTTCCCACAGAGCCTGTGGTAAGTTTGAACCACCATCCTTCTGGTTAGCAGCCAAATATATTACCCACTATACCACCAGAGCTCCCATAGTCAAAATTAGATCAAATGCTCTTATATTCATGTACCTGGCATAAAATAGCAAACTAATTAAACATAAATATCAATATAAACAAGAAGCTCTGGTGGTATAGTTGGTAAGGCATATGGCTGTTAACTAGGTCAACAATGGTTCAAACCCACCAGCAGCTCTGCAGGAGGAAGATGAGGTAATCTACTTCCATAAAGATTTATAGCCTTGGAAAACCAAAGGGTGTCACTATGAGTTGTAATTGACTTGATGGCAGTTGGTATGGTTTTGGTTATCAATATGAATTTTGTTAAGGGAAAACAGTCAAGGTTTGTGGTAGTCAGATTTGATCAGACATATTTGACTTTGATTACAAAAACTATAGAAAGCTATTTCTTGTTCAACCTAAAAATACTACTACCATGTAACTTCTAAAAAAATTCACTAAAAATGGCTGTCTCTTAGTAACTTCAGTGAATATGAGTCAGAAGTGGCTAGGAATAAGAAGAACAATGTATTACTAGATTTAGGCTATTATAAAACCCACTGTAGGGTAAATTAAGTTTAATATATCCACCAAAGCAGTTATAAATACTTATACATTAACCCATTTCAGTATTATTTCTAAGAAATTTATAGATCACATGAATTTCGGAAATAACTCCATTTTTATGCATTCCATAGGAAGATAGATCTCTTTTCCCTAGAAGTGCTGTCTACTTCAACAGACTTAACGTTAGCATGATTATTTGCTGACTACTGTAAATTGCACTGGATGTTCTCTAGTTACCAACTCCACTCTGCCTAATCTGTCTGAGGAAACAGAAACTAACTAACTGAAACAAAACGGTGTTAGGAGATGAAATTTATTTTAAATATGTGCATAAAATTTACCCCAACATATTTATCTCCTATATAAAAATGACAGTTGAATACAAAGCCTAACACGGTATTAGCATTCTTAGCTTTTTCATTTACAATCTCCCTAGCTCTGAAGAAGTGGTATTAAATGAATCAGGTGGGAGAAAAAAAATAATTAGTTTGTCTTTTGGCAGAGTATTGCCAAAACCAATTTCAATTCCAATTGGTTTATAAATTAATTTACATAAAGAATAAAAACCATGAAACTTTTTAGTTCCCTTACTCAGGAAGTAAAGTAAAATCAAATGTGTGGAAATAGAAGCAATTCCTCAAATCCATATACAGCATCATAATATAAGGCACTTGACTGCTAATCAGAAGGCTGGTGGTTCAAACCTACCAGCCACTCCTCAGAAGGAAGGTTGGGCAATCCTACTGCCTCAGAAACCCTAGGAGGGGTCACTATGAGTTGGGGCCGACTCGACGGCACATAACAACAACAACAACTACATAACACCACCCAATGGTGTTAAATAATAAATTCAAAGTTAATGGACATTGTGGAGATGTGTAGAAGATAGATTCGTATAGCTCTATCATAGAGCTACACATAAGCTTAAACTAAAACCCACTGCCATTAAGTTGATTCTGACTCACAGCGACCCTAGAGGACAGGAATAGACTTGCCTCATAGGCTTCCTAAGACTGTAAATCTTTAATTAAGTAGACTGCCCACCTTTCTCCCACAGAATAGCTTGTGGGTTCTAACCAATGACCTTTTGTTTAGCAGCCAGATGTTTTAGCCACTATGCCACCAGAACTCCTTACATATAAGCTTAGGCCAATGTTATTTTAAATTTTCTTTAGTTTTCTAGGTGTACCATTCCTGAAACCATCCTGGGTACGTAAATGAATTTCAACTCACGTTTCTCTTGCAATGACTTTACTTCCAACAGCAGCTTGAATTGCTATTTCAAACAGCTGCCTGGGAAGAGACTCCTTTAGACGTTCACATATGACTTTGCCAACAGAATGCGCTTTTTCTCTGAGAGAGAAAAAAATACAACTTACATAATCTAGGTAAGGATATTGAAAGCATCTTTCTTTACTCAATTTGTTTACCCAGTTTAAAAGTGATTTCTTAAGGAAGTTCACACAGCAACTCAAAAATCTCTTATTCTGTGGAACATGTTATACTTCTAATTTAAAAAAATGGTTTATAATCATAACGTTTTCAAGATTTCTTCTATTCCCTAACTTAAGCAATTTCAAGTACAGCTTTTCTTGTTATTTACTTTGATAAAATATTACACATATAAAACAAAAACATAATTATATATAAGTGATTAAAGAAAAACAATGATACATAATCCATTACAGAAAGTTTAGAGAAGAGAAAGATACATTACAAAATAAAACCCATCCTTAATACCCATCCCTCTACCTGTAGAAGACCACTGTTAACATTTTATAGGAAGAAAGGCCTGGTGATCTACTTAAGAAAATCAGCCAGTGAAGCCCCTATGGATCACAGCAGTCTTATCCACAACTGATCCTGGGGATGGCACAGCACTGGACAGTGGTTCACTCCATTAAGCATGGATGTCTACTTGACAACAGCTAATAATTTTAAGGCACTTGACTGCTAACCAGAAGGCTGGTGGTTCAAACCCACCAGCCACTCCTTGGAAGGAAGATGGGGCAATCTACTTCCGTAGTGATACTGCCTGGACACCCAAGGAGGGGTGGCTATGAGTCCAGTCCGACTCAACGGCACATAACAATAACAATTTTAAACATGAATCCTTATAGTCATTTTATTATGCACGTGCATTTCAATTTACAGTTTGGATCATAATGTATATGAAACATTCTGCTTTTTTTTATTTAATGTAGACATTTTTCTATATCACTAAATACCACTCTACAATATAGTATTAATGACTTAAAACAATAGGTTTTATGAGTGCTTAATCCCCCATTTCTTGAAAATGTAGGGTTTTTCATTATTATAATGTGTTATGAATATAAAAAATCTTTCCAATCCTAACTCTATCATTATAAAGTTTAAAAATCATTTTATTTTCCTTTTGTCTTACATAGTAAGGGAAACATCTGTTTCCATTATACTAGTCTATTTGACTATCATAATTTATCTTTTATATTTCTAACAGTTTAGAAAAAAAGCACAGAAAAAAGAATGCAGGGAAAAACCTACATTAGCAGGAAACCAGTAGAGGGAAACTTACTACCTTTAAAAGTTTGTTTTTTTTTTTTTAAAGAGTATAGCTGGTGGATGAAAATGAGCAACCAATTAACTACAAACATCTAAAGAGATTTCTTTCACATTCCATGCTTAGTTTCTTTTCTAAGTACTTACTTGTGTACAACAGTTACTAGCTCCTCTACAATGTTTCCATTCAGTAAAATATCCATTTTCACAAGTTCTGCAATCTGGTAACCTGCATCTTCATAATCAAAACTGGTAAGAAAAAGGAAAAAAAAGTCCAAGTGATAGATAAACATTCTATTTTTATGTGTACTTTTATATTTTCCAAGATATGACTTTATACCTTTTGAAAACAACTTTTCTTCATCCACTCTTATTTGCCCTCCAAAAAAAAGATGGAACTTTTCCATCAAAATATTAGATATACAGTTTCAGGTAATGGATGTAAACATCCAGAGCAAAGAACAGATTTCCTCATCATTTTACATTTATGAAATGAGGAGCAATATAATGACTGATGTAATGAGGGTAAGAGGTGGAGGGAGAGAGGAAACAAGTGGAACATGCTTTAGGGGTAAAAAATAAGAAACTGGTAAGCCACACTAGGAAAATGGGTCAGGAAAAAAGAAAGCCCACTGAAGCCAAATGTCACCACTTTCCCAATGTTCCTAGCAGCGGGCTGTCTGTAGACAATATTGAAAAGTCATTCTCAGGTTCATGAGTTTGGTTTCTGTCTAGTTTTCTATTACCAAGACCAACCAGAAGTTTAAGTAAGAGCTTTGGACTTGATAAAGACAACTTCTGAATTTCATATCTGGCTATTTAGTTTATACCTCACAGAGGCTTTTATGAGAATGAAATGAATTAATACATTTAAAACATGTAGAGCAGTGCTTGCTTTAATAACTATTTAGAATAGAGCCTAGCTTAGCACATATAAGCACTTAACTGTTAGCCCGATGCCACCATGGAAGGCAGGCCTGGAGATCTGCTTCTGCAAAGGTGACAGCCAAGAAAACCCTATGGGGCAGTTCTGTAATACACGGGGTTGCTGAATCGACTCAAAGGCAAGTGGTTTGGTTTATTACTATTATTAACATAGCCAAAGCCCACAATGCTAATCAAAACAGACCTGCTTAAATATGCAACTTAATTAACTGAAGACTAAGAAACTTTGAAGTTTGTTTACACATCTTCCCAATTATGGACAAGAACATGTATATTCTTACTGTCTTATAATCATGAAATAAGCAGGTACTCCAACAACAGCAGCAACAAAATTCACACTACCAAAAATGCTAGCTTATTTGTTATTTGTCACTTTTGCTTCACGTTCATCAGGTTGTTCTTCCCTCCATGTACTCCTATGGGATAAGACATTGGTTTTCATGACACAGACACCTTATTCCCGGGAAAACCAAGGAATTAAGAGTTCACAAATGTAAGGGCACACCTAAATTTTTCACAGATTGAGATGTACTTGTATTTTTTTTTAATGCATACAGATTCTACTTGGATAACACGGCATACAAATACATTTCAAATCCACAGATTATAGTTTTTAAAATCATGTATAATTCTAATAAAAAGATAGGCTATAATTACTACCATAAAGATGACCTTAAAATTTTTCAGTAAAAAGGGGATAATGGTTTGATGAAGACCAAGGACACATTCTCCCAATAAACAAATTACAAGTACTCTGTGACACCAGTAAGGCTTCTGCGCCAAACCTTACTAGAGTCTGATCCTCAAATGTCAAGGCTGAGACTGTAAATTAATGAAGTATTAGCATACTTTGTGGTAGATAAGTTTGTGTGTCAACTTGGCTGGGCCTGGTTGAGTTGCTGGACAGCTGGATGTAGTATTCCCCATGAGACTGGTAATCAACTCAATGGTGGATAAAAATACCTAAGAAGTGCTACTTTGAACAGCTGAGTAGCTGCCTTACGGATGTGGTCTGCTTCCTGTATAATAAGGAGAAGCCTTGGGGAACGTTCTCTAGCTTAGGGCATGCTTGAACCCTGCATGTAGCTGTGTCATTGCTCAGCAGCGTTCCATGCTCTGCTGACCTTGGGACTTTCAATGGACTTGAATGAATGGCCTGCCATGTAGTTTGGTAACATCAGGACTATGCCTTTTTATTTGTCAATCTTGGGCTTGCCAGCCTCAGCAACCAGAAGCTGAGTGAAAAAAAGCCTCTAGCTTCAGTGGGCTGGGAGCAGGAGGCAGAGCTGACCCCAAGGTTGAGAGGCCTTCACCCAGTTCCTAGAGCTTGTCACTCTGAACTCAGACTTCTAGCCTCCTGAACTGTAAGAGACTAAACTGTTTCTTCAAGTCATCCCATTTGTGGTATATTCTTGTCAGAGCAGCACTAGGTAATCAGAACACTCTTATTGGCTAATATTTCAAAAATTTGTCCAGGCATCTGAGTTTTCCATTATATTTTACCTAGCATATCCAGAAGACATAGATTTCAAAGAATCATAAAAATCCACCACAATTTCATTCAAAGGGAAGAGATATTTAAGCATAACTCTATTTTGATCAATATACATCATATTCTTCTGAACTGCTCTTCGAGCCTAAAAAGGAGAAAAAACACACTTAATCATAACCTATTCAAATACTGATTTAACACAGACAAATACCAATTATCAAGATACAAATTCCCTTACAAATCCTGAGAATAAACAGTGGGAAACAATAAAAAATATTTCTTTAACAGTCTAATAATAAACTTGTGACCAATTTTATAGTACAAGGAGAACCATTTTGTATTTCAATTTTTTATGCTTATTACCAAAGCTTTAAATTATTTTTATCTAATAATTTTATCTTTTCTGATTACAGTGTTTCCTTTAGTAATAAATCAAATGTAAATACACACAAATCAAAGTCCTACTTTCTCCGATCTCCAATAAGGAAATGTAGGTCCAGAGAAATTAAGTCACTGACCAAATGTACAAGCCAGTTTGCAACAACAATTCAAATTTAAGAACCCTAGAAACCATTTGAGAGTTCTTTCTAATAAAATGTAGAAGGCCTTCTAATCTGGGGGTACTTGAAACATTTGCCTTTGAAACTATATTCAATTTCAAGTACTCAAGAAGGCTAAAGTATAATTTTAGCTACTCAGGATAAATAAAACATCAAATTACTTTCTTTTGAGCTAAAATATCAATTCAGTGCATTGTTAAAAGATGATAAAAAATTCTGCTTACATTTTTCAGAACAAAGTAAGAAGTATACTAGCCATATCTATATATACACATACAGACGTCCATATGTAAGTATGTGTACAGCTAGATGGGGAGCTCTGGTGGCATAGTGCCTAAGCCATTTGACTGCTAACCAGAAGGCTGGTGGTTCAAACCCATGAGCCACTCCTCCAAAGGAAGGTTGGGCAATCTACCTCCATAGTGATACCGCCTCGGAAACCCAAGGAAGGGTTGCTAAGTCAGATACGACTCAATGGCAGTGAGTTTGGTTTTTTATAGATAGATAGATACAGATGAAAATTTCTTATTAAGTTCAGTGTGAAAAATTATTCAAAACCTTGACTGGGAACCACTATTTCTTAGGACTAAAACCTACTTCTGTATAAACTGGATTATATTTATACCTGGCAAAGCATCATTATTTTTCCAGTGTATTCATCTGGTGTGATAATAGTGCCCAAAACAACTGGTTCTAAATATTCTGTTACTTTTGATTTATCAGGAAACTGTGAAGGACTGATGATTGTAATTTCTTTTTGTCTATATTCCTGAAAATGAGAAAACAAAATCACTTCAATAGTTAAAATCTTAAGTTACACATTTCGTAAAAGTTTGATTTTAATTTCTAGTGTATGTTGCAACTTACTCTTACTTAAATGTTGCAACTTATCCTGTTACGTGTTGATGGAATTAATAAAAACATAAAAGAAATCCTAAAACTTAGAATATTATCTTAACTTTTTTTACGTTAAATAAATTTTCTATTCTAATCATTTACTATTAAAAAGAATTCTTTTTCAATGTAATTGTTACTGATAGAATTTATGAAGTAAAAGAGCTGAACAGAAGTTTTCAATGGGCAACTTGAGAAGACAAAAGCATAATGAAATGTGCAAAAGAACTGGAGTTAGAAAAACAAAAGGGAAGAACATCCTTGTCAATTTTCAAGCTGACAAACCTAATGAGAAGAATTCAAGCCTCAAGTTGCAATATGAAAGGATTCTATGAGCAAAATATTAAAGGATGCAGGAAGCATCAAAAGACACAATACAGAATTACTATAGCAGAAAGAACTGTTCCATGTTATAATACTTATTCAATCTGTATGCTGAGCAAATAATCCGAGAAGCTGGAATATATAAAGGAATATATGAGCAAGAATATGGCATCAGGATTGGAGGAAGACTCATTAACAGTCTGTGATATGCAGATGACACACCCTCGCTTGCTGAAAGTGAAGATGACGTGAAGCACTTTCTGATGAAGGTCAAAGGCTGCAGCATTCAGTATGGATTATACCTCAATTTAAAGAAAACAAAAATCTTCACAAATAGACCAATAGTAATGTCATGATAAACCAAGAAAAGAGTGAAATTATCAAGGATTCCATTTTACTTGGGTTCACAATCAACACCCATAGAAGCAGCAGTCTAGAATCAAATGACCCAATGCATTGGACAAATCTGCTGCAAAAGACCTCTTTAAAATGTTAAAAAAAAAAAAAGTAAAGATGTGACTTGGAGGACTAAGGTGTGTCTGACCCAAGCCGTGGAATTTTCAATAGTCTTATATGCATGCAAAGGCTGGACAATGAATAATGAAAACTGAAGAACTGATACAATTGAATTATGGTGGTGGCAAAGAATAGTGAACATGCCATGAGCTGCCAGAAAAATGAACAAATCTGTCTTAGAAGTGCAGCCAGAATGTTCCGTAGAAGAAAGAATAGTTGAGACTTCATGTGATGTACTTTGGGCATGTTATCAAAGAGGAAACGGTCTCTTGAGAAGGATATCATGCTTGGTAAAGTATAAAGTAAGCAAAACAGAAGACCTCAACAACACACAGTGGTTGCAACAATAGGCTTAAACATAGCAACGACTAGGGAGCTCTGATGTAGTGCCTGTAAGGCACTTGACTGCTAACCAGGAGGCTGGCGGTTCAAACCCACCAGCCACTCCTCAGAAGGAAGGTTGGGCAATCTACTTCCATAGTGATACCGCCTCGAAAACCCAAGGAGGGGTCGCTGTGAGTCAGGTCCGACTCGACGGCACATAACAACGAGGATAGTGCAGGACTGGGCAGTATAATGTTTCACTTCTTGTGTATTATTTATGATCCAAATTATATTTCCCATCTTTTTACTGGATTTAGGACAATGTTCGTCATCACTATGTCTAGCTTTTATTCTCAGTAAGAGACCAGCATTGGCAATCTTGAGATTATTAGGCTAAGGAAAATACTACAGAAATTAGTTTTCAAATAATTTCTCCACTACTGTCCATAAGGTAATTCAATTTGTGTTACTGCTAATCAAAAAGTAAATATCCAATTAGTTTTAATAGCCAGTTAGATAATGGTATACTAAAAAGTTTTCTTGCATTCTGCATACTCATATGCATATACAAACACACTTAGTTTTCTCCTGTAATTTTCACAGTAGTACTAAATATTATAGTACCTTTATCAATTTTTCTGATGAAAGAACAGCTTTGTATGGAACAGTGGGAGTTGTCAAAATAACAGAAGCATTATATTCTTGTTCTAGTCTTTGGATGAAAACTTCCATATGCAGGAGTCCAAGAAATCCCAACCTGAGGGAGAAAAGCCAAAAAAACTCCTAAATAAAAACATTGTGATTTCAGAGGGAAGAGTGTTATCAAAAGAGGCACTGAAGCAATTCAAATCATAATTAAATTCTAACAATTTTATTAAGATTCAAATTTTTCATTGGGATTCTATTTGGAATTGCTATAAAACTTACCCATAGAATGTCATTCCATGTTGTGAAACAGGCAGATGTAAATTGTTTACATTCATTTTTACACTTAATTTTAACTTATCTTTAGAACTATTCAAGAGCAATGCAACACTTAAAACTTTACTCTTCCATAAAACCACCATTTATCTGTCAATATGTAGTACTGTGGTGTCTTGTATGTGGCTGTAATGCTGGAAGCTATGCCACCAGTATTTCTGATACCAGTAAGGTCACCCATGGTGGACAGTTTTTACCAGAGCTTCCAGACTAAGAGCAGGAAGAAGGATGCAGTGGTTCACTTCTAAAAAACTGGCCACTGGAAACCTTACGAAGAGTAGTGAAACATTTTCTGATATATTGCTGGACATGAGCCCCTCGGGTTGGAAGACACTCAAAATACAACTGCCTCCTCAAATTAGAGGCAATCTTAATTCAATCAGAGCAATGACTGGCAGGAAGGTGCAGGACTGAGCTTTGTTCCATTCTGTTGTGCACAGGGTCGCTGTGAGTAACTTGATGGCACCTAACAACACAACAACTTCCATAAAAATGGAACTCTACAATGGGAATGAATCATACCTCCAGCCAGCACCTAGGGCAAGGCTGCTATCCCGATGAACTGTTACACTGGAGTCATTTAAAGTCAGTTTTTCTATAGCACTCTTCAGGTTATTATATTCAGACTGGTCAACAGGGTACATTCCTGGAGGGGGGGGACAATGAATTTAATTATTACATGTGATAAGTTACTTACATTCCTAATCTAATATGCAATGCTGCCAAGCTCAATATTAATCATTTAGCTTTTAAATTACCTTCCTATTATTTCATTAACATTAAGCTTTCTTAAAAAGTCTGAATATTACATTGGTTTCAAAGTATCTTCCAAGTTGTAAGCCTTAATCAATTTATAACTGGATTCACACTCCAAATGATGTTTGTGTTTGCAAACATACAGGGAAATCACAAAATTAAAAGAACTATGGGAATTAGGTGTATTAAGAAAATACATTTTGTTTATTTAAATTTTTTTTTAAAAAAAGTACATGCCATTCTACAACCACAAACTCTTATTCGTAGCTAAAAAACAATAATAGAAATGAAAATACACAATTCTTAACTCTCTAAGACAGACTGTCTATTAAAATTAAAGACACTGTCAGAAACTATGGGAGTTATTAATACATCAGATTCTCTTTCATTTGACACCACTGAAACCCACATCTCTCAAGTCCTTTCAAAATTCAAATCACTGTCCTTGCTAAACATGCAGATAAACAGAATTCTTAATTCCCAGTGAGAGATACTATAGGGAGGAAAATAAAGGATGGATACCCAGTACAGAGTTAAGTTGACTGACAACCTTCAATCAACTATTCCTTTTTCAAAAGTTGATAATACCACACGGTAGTAGAAGGTTCTGAAGTCATACATATGTGAAGTGACACTATTTTGTCATGTGTTTAGTACCATAATACAATATTAAAGAAAGGCCAGGTAAGACGTAGACATTCAGTAAGTGTCTACTGATAATCAGTAATAAAAACTTCCTAACTAGAAAAAATGTTTCGAATATAAACAGGACTGACTCCCTAGAGAAACAAAGAAGAAAGTAATATTTCAAGGCTTTCTGATATTTCAGAGTTTGTTTCTTGAGAAATCCTAAGAGAATTTAGGAAATAATCTTTAAATGAAATTTCGTAATTACATATGAAACCATAAATCGTATGTAAACAGCAAACAAAAATCAACAAAAAGGAATGGTGTACCCTGACATTAGCAGTTAAAATAATCAGAGTATTTATCTTCTAGGAATTTTTTTCTTTCATTGCATAGGCTTTTATTTTTTAAATACTTTTGCCCTCATCTTCTCAATTTGTGAGCTCCTCACCTGCAAATACCATTGGTTTCGCTGATTTAAACCCAGGCAAGGGCTCCACTGGTTGCTTATGTAAATAAAATGTATCTCCTATTTGTGCTTCAGTGACATCTTTCATCCCAGCAATCAGATAGCCCACCTGTCCTGCATATCTAAATGAAATCATTATATGGAAATAATATTTACTGATCTTAATATTTCAATAGTCATAATTAGTTCCACTTCCCCAGGAAACTACCACACATTTTCCATCAAAACCTGGTCAAACTGAAAATAAGTCCTACATATCAAGTCTCAAAATCCAAGGATTAGCCGCAAAAAATACCAAGTCTAGGACCTTTGTACCACAACAAGCCTGAGGCCTTCTTTAAGACATAATGTAAACACAGTGAAACTATAAGTAAAGCAGCACAGAACACGTTCTATAATGCCTATCTCATTAATCGTGTTATAAATGTGCGTTGAGACAAAAAAAAAAGCTATTTTTGACCAAGCAGAAAAAACATGAAATTTTCAACAAACCTGACATCTATTTGATGTTCCTCTTGTAGGAAAAGAGCACATTCCAAGATTTCAGCGTTTTACCTTAGTTTTATAAAAAAGCAAATTCCTAAGCATATCTTGTTTCAGAGTACATTTAACTGATTGCTTATACTTTTGGATTCTACATCTTAAAAAGCAACTAATTCACAGTTAGAATGAGACAGAGGAACCTTAACCAAAGGATCAAGAATGTTCAATATATATATGCCAGATCAGAAATTTTAAGTAAAAATAGATGTCTGACTCAAAAAATGTACTCAGCAAAATAGTGCTGGTTTTAGACTAAAAAACCAAACTCAATGCCATTGAGTCAATTCTGACTCATAGCAACCCCCTTTGGGTTTCCGAGGCAGTAAATCTTTATAGAAGTAGATTGCGCAGTCTTCCTTCCACAGAGTGGCTGGTGGGTTTGAACGCCAACCTTCTGGTTAGCAGTCAAGGCCTGTGGCACCATGCCACCAGAGCTCCTGGTTTTTAGACATACAACATTAAACCTCAAGTGGGACCTATATAATCTAATGGTTCACTACTGTCACTTTTACAGATGAGGAAACAAAGACTACTGCCCAAGGTCATCTATTTAATCAGTACTGACAAAGAGCAGGAAGTAAAAAATATTCTGATGCACACTGCCTTGCTAAACCCATACCCCATAAGTTCTCGTTAATTATGGTTTTACCATGAATTCTACACTGAAGTATCACTTTCCATACTACCTTTATGTTGAAAAATATAGTTGTCCTTGTTGCCACTGACTCTATTTTGCCTTATGGCGACCCTATATGTGCAAAGCAGAACTGCTCCATAGAGATTTCAAGGCTGTGACCATTCAGATAAACAGGCCTGTCTTCCAAGCTGCCTCTGGATGGGTTTGAACTGCCAACCATTCGGCTAGTAGTCAAATGCTTAACTATCTGCACCATCCCGAGACTCCTTCTATGCTATCTTTATGTTGAATGTACAATTATAAAAAATTCAATGTCTAGTTAAGATCAGTCATTAAGAATAAAAATGTATCAATTATATTTTAAATTTATAGAAGCTTCTACCATCTTTCACATATTCACATACCAGATGCCTTTCAGCAGTGTTCACTGTATACAAAAACAAAAAACATAAAACAAAAAAACCCAAGCTCACTGCCATCTAGTGGATTCTGACTCATAGCAACCCCCATTTTGTTTCCAAGGCAGTAAATCTTTATGGAAGTACATTGCCCCATCTTCCTTCCTCGGAGCAGCAGGTATGTTTGAACCACCTCTGGTTAGCGGTCAAGTGCCTTAGGCACTATGTCACCAGAGCTCCTTATTCACTGTATAGTTGCATTAAATAATCAGTCCCCACCCCACCCCCTTTAGATTACCATATTGGGATGATTCTATATATAGATATAGATATAGATATAGATATAGATATATATATATATATATATATATATATATACCAAGTTAAGAAAGAGGCAGAGACAGAACCACATACAAATTTATTCTAATTACTAATAGAGATTACTTACAATGTATGACTTGGCTGCTCATTAGGATTCAGAACTCCTACTTCGTTAACTTCATAGGTCTTTTTAGAATGTGCAGACACAATTTTATCTCCTTTGGAAACCACTCCATCAAATAATGCTACATTGGCTATCACACCCCTATACTGGTCAAAGGTGGAGTCAAATACCAAAGCTCTCAGGGGACTTTTGCAATGCACGTTAGGACTACAAAGAATAAGTCAAAAATAAATGCACACATACTAAATTAAAATCTTAATAAAATGCCTATTTTAATTTAATAAACTAAATATGCTTAATTTATTCTAATACAAGTATTTATTAAACCATAAGAAAGACTGATACTAAATAGCCAAAATCAAAGGGTTGTCTCATAAAATAACACTTTTCTTACGTTAGATTGAAATCAATCTTCAGTTTAAAATAAATGATCATTTTTAAATTACTTATAAAACTGATGGAATGTGTTCAGTATATAATATAACTGCAAAGAATATAACTGAAAAGTTATAGTCAGCAAAGAATATAACTGCGAATGCACTGAAGTCTATTTATACTTGCTTTTTATTTTCCTATACTGTACTCTATGTGTCTTCTACACATTACTAAATAGAAATCCAAAGTTTATTCTCATTGACTGCGAGAGGATATTTGTCATATCCACTAAAACACCAGATCAATTGATGGTCTTTGGACTACTACATGTAAGTGAATAATGTAAAAATAGCAAAATACTTACGGGGGTATTCTTTTGATTACTGCCTGAAGAACACTTTCAACATTTGTTCCAAGTTTAGCAGAAATCTAAAAATATTTAAAGTTAACATTACACTTTTCTATCCTGATGAATGTGATTTATTATCAGAAGCATGAAAGAATTCTGAGAGTTATCAAATTGCTTGAAGAACACAGCAAGAGGAGGAAAAAAAAAGTATAATAACAAATGACATTCCTTTATTGTTCATTGGCTCTGTAGTTTTAAGATTAAATTACAAGAACATTCTGATTATACTATTGAAAGAGCAATGGACTAAGAGTTTAAAAACATCTGGGTAATAATTCTAACTCTGCATGGAATGTATGACTTTGACCAGTACATTTATTTCTTGGAGCTTCAATTTCCTCATTGGAAAAATGAAGCAATTAGTCATATTTTCCTAAATCTCACATTATCTCTCTCTCTCTTTATATATATATATATATATATTTGCGGTGTGTGTATGTATGGCATACATGTGACTATTAGGTGCATTATTACTTTTATTCTCACATCAAAAAGCACAAACCAAAAGACTCAAACAACATATGCATGCCTGATTTTTGTCACTATCAGTTAACCAACTCTGAAATTCTGATTTCCAAACACATTCAGTGAATACCCCCTCTCTTACCCTTCAAACTCACTTAGTCTAGACCAGGGTTTCTTGATTTCACCCTACTGACATTTTGGGCTGAGTAATTCTTTGTTAGGGCTGTCTTATGTTTTGTAGGATATTTAGTAGCATTCATGGCCTCTACACAAGATGCCAGTAGCACACCTCTCTCTAGTGATGACAATCAAAAAGGTCACCAGACATTGCCACTTATCCCTTGGCAACTTATTCAACTGCCCCCTGTTGAAAACTACTGCTTTAGAGTCTAGTACCTCCCTTTCAACAGTTCTTTAACATCACAAATTCTAATCTATCAATGTACCACTTTTTTCTTTATTCATTAGCTACTCACCCCCACCCTGCTCCCTTCTCATCAAATGAGATTTCAAGATCCACCATTTATTTACAATCACTATGTCCACCTACTTTCTATTCTCTCCTTATCACGAACAGCTAACAAAACCGTAACCTTGACTGCATCCAATCAAGTGCCCTTTTTATGTCTATGCAGAGTAGCTGAACATTACTGGAGAAAATCAAATAACTGGTCTGGATGGTTTCTCATGAATTTATGTCCACAGATCTCTACATGCATCTAGCACTTCCAACAGTCCCAGCAAACAGCCTCTAGTGAATTCACATTGCCACTCTGTTTTGAAGATTTCTCACACTTCCATCCTTTTCAAGTCATACATTTTCCACTCTGGCCAATTCACTCTCAGCTGATAACTTCACCTCTAATTTCATTAAGGAAAAAGAAAACATCAAAAATTCCCTAATCCAAATACAGAACCTCTGCATCTGTACCTACAACCTCTCTGCCTTCTCTTATTTCAGAGTATTCCCACTTTAGTTATTACCAAGTTGTATATATTACCATCTATTGTGCTAAGGTTAAACAAAGAAATACACTTCACCATCTAACATTTATGTTCTCAAAAACCAAATGAGAATGTGTAAACGCAACATTATACCACTGCACTCACATTCCCATAAGAGCACACAGCACAGTAGGGTTTGGTTGTGGCTATTTAACACCCAAATGATCATTTCGGATGTAAAAAAATAAATTCAAGTTTAAAATGGCATTAACTTTGATATAAAAAAAATATATTGTTCCTAAGACTGGTACTACATAGTTCCTATCTGTCATAACACAATAAAGGTTTTTGGTAAAGATCAAATGAAATATGAAAACCAAAAAACAAACTCATGGCCATTGAGTTGGATCTGACTCATAGCGATTACTCCTTGGGTTTCCAAGGCCGTATCTCTACAGAAGTAGATTGCCCAACCTTCCTTCCAAGGAGTGGCTGGTGGGTTTGAACCTCCAGCCTTCCGGCTAGTAGTCAAATGCCTTAGGCACTATGCCACCAGGGCTCCTAAATGAAATAGTAGTAATATTAAATGTGCAAACTACAAAAACACTACACTGTATTGGGCTATTAAATATTATGAAATTGCACTTAGGCCAATTACCTGAGATTTTTAAAAGTATGAGGCACAGTCATCAAAAAAGTTACTTTACCTTAATACACTGATCGCTTGGAATATCAAACACTTTTTCAATTTGTTTTTCAACCCTTTCAGGATCAGCATTCTTCAAATCTATCTTTAAAAAAAAAAAAATCTTAATATAGTGTATCTGTAATAAAAAAAAAAATAATAAAAAATAAGGATCTCTGGTGACAAAGTCCCTAAGGCTTTTGACTGCCAATCAGAAGGATGGTGGTTCAAACCCATCAGCTGCTCTGTGGAAGGAAGATGGGACAATCTATTCTGTAAATCTTACCACCTTGGAAACCCAATGGGGGTTGCTATGAGTCAGAATCAACCCAATGGCAGGGAGTTTTGTTTTTCTTTTTTAAACAATAAATATATTATGTATTAACACAGAAATACCATTTGACCCAGAAATTCCATTGCTAAGTATATATCCTAAAGAAGTGTAAGCCAGGACAAGAACAGATATATTCACACCCATGTTCTCTGCAGCACTATTTACGATAGCAAAAAGATAGAAACAACCTAGGTGCCCATCAAAAGAAGAATGGATAACTCAACTATGGTATATACACACAATGGAATACTATGCAACCCTAAATAATAATGCATAATCTGCAAAACACCATATGATGTAGATGAACTTAGAGGACATTATGCCAAGTGAAATAAGTCAATCACAGAAGGACAAATATTCTATTAGTCCATTATTGTAAAAAGTCAAGGAAAGGTTTGTCTATGGAAGGAAATTTTCTTTATTGGTTACCAGGGGTGGGAGGGGAGGAGAGGGATCACTGTTAGATAGGTAGAGATAAGTATTGATTTGGGTGAAGGGAAGTGCAATGTACCAAATGTGAGTGATCAATATGGTGGCATTAAAAGAGAAAGACATAGAGAGGTACATGGGAGGTACAGACAACAAACATGCACCCTTTCGCACATACCATACTGTGTTGTCAGAGATGGCAAACATTGGTATATGGGTGGATAAATGGGTGGACAGGCTGAACAACTAGGTATGTGTATGCAGGGGGGGGGAGTGTGCCCATGACCATATATAGGGTTGGCAGACAAATGTATTTGTATGTTCTATAAGAATGTCCAGGTATATAGTACAGCTGACAAGGGACAAGGTTGTAGTCACTTCTTGGCCACAGCCAGCTACCCAGAGGGAGCAAGTAGTTGGACCTATGGACTTGGGACCACAGTCACAGGAGACATCGAGCTCAACTGGCACAACACACTACACAAAAACATTGTTCCACATCCTACTTTGGGATCTTAAAAGCTTGCAAGCAGCCATCTCGATGCAATGATGTGTCTCTCCTCATCCAGAGCAAAGGATAATGAAGAAAACCAAAGATGCATGGAAACAGTTAGTCCAAGCTACTGGTATACCATATGATCCTCAATGTACATGACTATGACAGGAGAAGAACTAGGTGATGCCCAACTACCACTGTCAACTACTCGGAGGGGGATCTATGTAGGAGATCCTGGATAGAGTGGG